GTTTGGAGCTGCTGTCAGATTTCCCACGCTTGCCAGCTTTTTTGCTGAATTTTTTTGTTTTTTTTTAAAATAAAGCACTTTTTATTGGTTTGGGCGAGTGCCCCACCCCGCCCTACAGCCGTGCAGGATCGACCCCTTACAGCTGCGCAGGCCCATCATCCATCCTTCACGCGTTACAAACCAGTTCAAGTGTGGTACTCCCCAGAACTTCCTATTTTCCTCCGTTCGTCCTCCCAGCTCCTGCACTTGACCCATCTACCTGATGCCTCGCCTCCAATGGTGAAGTAAAATGCACAAAACAGTAACGGGGGACATGAGTTTACCCGAGCTTCTTCGATCAGTAAATCATCGGTTGGCAATCGAAGTGCTCGGAGCCGCTCTTCTTGTTTCTCTTCTTCGGAAAGTTCCGGTTTCGGCGGCTTTTCCTCCGCAACAGCCGGTGTGGAATGACGCGAGGCGCCACCTCTTGCAGCCACTACTGGTGTTCCTCCTCGTGGTGGCGTTGCAAATATAGCTTGTTCCAGCTGTATGTATGTAAATATATTCATTACAAACTGGAAAAAGATACAACTCGAAAAATGAATTCTCGAAAGCAGTAGGAAAACCTTTCCAAAAAAATGCGTTCAATGCCAAAATATACCCTGTGTTGCGAAAAACACGCAAAAAGAAGGAACTGCCTGGCACAGCTGTGCCAAGTACTTTGATCCTGGGTTGCATACCTCTAGTTGGTACCCACTGTCTATTCAACGCATTTTTGCTTATATCAACGGGAAGTCTGTTTCAAAATAATACTTAAAAAATCCATATACTAAAAAAAAACGTGCACTCTGCTCCTCTGCCTTCTCTTAAAAAATTTAAAAACGTAATTTCTACCGTTGCAAAAACCCCATTATCGGCAACAACATGGAACCATCTAAAAAAGTTACATAAAAATGGGAGAATGAAGCAGCCCGCTGCCGCTTTGTTGTTTTCCTTCACAGTTATCAGTATCCAACCCGTAGTACCGTGTGTGCACAGAAATTTTGTAACCTTGGGTTTTTTGCATTCTGGTTCAGCTGAACTTGCTTTCTCTTTTTTTGGCTTCAAGTGTTGTTGTTGCTGCTGCTGCTGTCGTTGTTGTTGTCGGTGTTGTTGTTGTTGTTGTTGCTGCTGCTGTTGCTGTTGTTGTTGCTGGTGATGGAGCTGCTGCAGCTGTTGTTGCTGCTGTTGATGATGATGATGATGATGGTGCTGCTGAGCTTGTTGACCCTGAAAATGGAAAATCCAAAATAATGGATATACCGGCTCCCTCATTTCTCTGGGACCAGCAAGTTAGAGACATAATCAACGTGTTCGTCACCTGAACGTAATTTCAAGAAATCTGCATCTGAAGTCCAAATACGATTTTCTATATGAACAAAAAATATCCTGACAAAATTTTAACTACTGTTTTCTGGCTAGTTATCGAGTTGGCGCTGTGCCAACTACGGACTTTTTCGTGACCTTATGCATGGCAGAGGAGTTTTTGACTTTCAATTACCCGTCGTTGGATTTCATTCGGGCCTATTGACCACTTGGGGATTACCAGTTCCAGAGATTACTTTGATGGTTACTTTGATAATGGTTGCTTTGATAATGGTTCGGTCACTGATCTCTTCATCGTTATGTAGTTATGAGTTATCGATGATTCCGCATATTTTCCACTGGTTGGTGTGATCGAAGCTATTTTAACTAGTGACATCCAATTTTACGGTACCAAAATGGGTTTATTTTATGGACTGGTCCTTCCCAACGATTATTTTCGATTGCCCGCGCTAAATGAAATGTCAGACCGAAGCAAAAACAAAAAAAAATTTTTAAATTTCCGTTACCAAGCCAAATAGCAGTTGCGCATAATATTGCTCGTTACGTTGTAGACGTCGTTGTAAGTGATGTAACGCTTTCTTGTCCGTTGCTGCTGTTGCTAGAAAAACAATATTTATGTACTGTTAGATTGTTGTTAATATATTAATTATACACCATTTAATTAGTCCTCTGCAAAATTTCAATCCAGGCACCTCATCGAAGTGTGAAAATGGCAACAGACTATACAGTGCCCAGGCAGGACAGAATATACTCCTCACAACTCACACGTGCTCAGAGGCATTACGCCGCGTATGTCTGTCCAAGCATGGGTGGTACAAGGATTACTTAGAGATGCACGCTGTTGCGGGTTTATATGGTTTAAAAAAAAAAAATCATGGAGAAAAAAATTAGAGCATACGATCTGTTTTTGAAAGGTCCACTGGCGAAGGTGCCATTTTAGCAGCAGCAGCAGCAGCGACGGATGAAGACTTTCTCGAACCGCTTGTGGAACACCTTGCGATTTGTGCCAACACTTCCTCCTCGGTTATTTTGTATAGGATCTAAAACTTAATAATTTACTAGGCAAGAACTCTACTTTCCATGCATTTTTCGAAAACACTCGTCCTAATTCACAATAGCCTTGATTTTCTACTCTCGTCAACAGCCACTTCTTGTGATAGAGTTTTATTGAATTGGACAATTCAGCCTGCGGTTGAAGGTAAACCCTTAACCATTACAGAACAGGTGTCAAAGGGCCTGTTATAAAAACGTAGATAAGCGTAAGACAAAGAAAAAGAAATCAAAATTAGACTTCCAAAGACGAATTTCTTACTCTCTTCCCATCTTCAGCGATTCTGATTTGAATATAATCGCCAACGATAATTTTACAACTGAAGCTAAAGTGCTCCCGATCAATATTCGTGATATTGCGCTTATTCAAATACTGAAATTGAAAATGCACGAATTTACAATATGACGGCCAAAATGCACTTAAAATTATCAGCTGCGCCAACGGCGAGAAGAAATTAAAGTAGCCCTGTCGCAAATCGGAACAATAGCCAATCTAAAGTACTCCCCCTCTGATAATGCCTGCCCTTGATTACGTCCGTATGCACATTTATAGAATCGTTATTTGAGTTAATATCCAGAGTGATTTTAACACAGAAATCACACGTATGATCGAGGGGGAATATTATGCTTGCAAAGGATACTTGCAAATAGCCAGATTTCTAGTGCCAAATGAAATACGTAGAATCTCGTTTTTTGTCTCAGTCGATTTCGATTTCATACCATAAAACCGAATGTTTCCGGCGAATCAAACTCCGTTCACAACATAACTACCCTCACATCATATACAAGCAGCTGTGTAGAAAAGAAACTGAGAAATTAAAAAAAAAAATTCATACACGCATCACTTCGGCGTATGAGCCAAGACGTTTGCCGCACGGTGCGTAATAGATAACATCGCCTCGAACACCACTTGCACTAATCGTTCGAATACATGTTTCTCGTCGCCAACTATAAAAACGTAGCACTGGAACGTGTAAGAATATGGGTGTTACGTATAATAATAGCAATTTGTTATACAAGTGATTAGTAGTGCACAAAGAATTATTTAAAAGCAAAATACTTTGGTGGGGCTAAAAGGAAAATGAAGACAAGAGGTGTC